GACCGGCTGCCTAGATTTCTCTGCATGAAGCAATAGAGAAATTGCTGGCAGGCAGGAGAAATAAACAGTTCCTTTCGTTTTTATTTTATCCTGAAACGACCTTGTTCGTATATGGCATGGAAGCTTACTTCTTAAATAAAATTGATGCATTGCGAATTATATGAAACTTAATGTTGATAAAACAAGTAATTTCCTTAATAAAAAGGATTTTAACTACATCATTTATAACTCTGATATTTTACACATATTGTTTCTAAGACATTGGTGGTATTTTTAATCTAACCTTTGTTTCCATCTTTCTCTCAGACCCTAAAGCTACTAGGTCTAATATGGACTACTGCCTACTTTAGACAGCTTCATGATCCTTTACAGTGGCCTAGTTAGACCTAAACTTGAACATAATTCTGTTTATAACTCTCTTACCACCACCGACTCCAACAAAATGTTTGCTACCAATGTGTTACTAGTTCTGAAGGTACGTAGGTTGTTACTACAGTGCGCCCGTGTAATAAATTAAATCTGTTACGAAAAAGCCTTCGTTTTGTAAAAAAATCGTTATGTGGGTTTGGGAAATACATGTCAAAGGCCTAATTCGTTCCAAGATCGTCGTAAGTTAATCTTCTTGGCCTCAAAAAGACTGTTTACAAATATAAACTCAAATTCTTTATAAACATTATAAAAACATAGCCAAAGATTAAAGTTAATAGAAACATAATTAAAGATAATAAAATAATCAAAAATAAATATTACATTATAACCTCTGTGGGATCAGGCCTGGTGCAGGTAGAGGGATTCTTCAGAGTTGCTGAATGATGATGACAACAATCTTGGATCCTTTCCTCCTCCCCAACTGCCATGTTCAATGAAGCTGTCCAGTTCTTGCAGGTCCTCAGTGGTGAGCCCCCTATTGTGGAACTTAACAAGGCTTTCCACATTACCCTGATACACTTCATGCCCCATAAATTTATGAAGTGAGACAATTTCTTATTGTATAGCAGCAACATCTTCAAATCCCACTACATCACTCTGGTGGCAATTCCTGGAACTGCTGAGTGTATTTCAATTGTTAATCCTGAATTACCCTCTGGTGGTAGGTTTATCAACTATTCAATGTGTTTCAATTGTTAATGACAGTTTCAATACCTGTTATAATTTCAAAATATCATTGTGGTACTGGTATACCTCCTCAACTATTCTCTGCACACTAGGCACCATTTTCAATATTGTGTGTATATATACAGGATGAGTCAGAAGTATGTTTACAAACTTCGTGTGCGTGTTCCTGGATCAAAAATAATAATAAAAATGTTCCTATGAACATGGGGTCGCAAATGTTTCATTTTCGAAATAATAGCCAAAAATAATTTTTAATGTATGCCCTTATTGCCAAGTATAAGAACAGGATGTTTCTTTATAACAGATGCTCAAAGGTTGTTCCTCCATTCTCCACACATGCTCGAGCACGACGTACACAAGACTGACGGGTTTCCTCCAATCATCTGGCATGCATTCTGCACACGTTCCCATAGGTCGTCATCATTGTTTATGGGTGTTGCATAAACGACGGACTTCAAGTGACCCCACAGATAAAAGCACAATGGTATCAGGTCCGGTGACCTCGGTGGCCATGCTACTGGGCCACCACGCCCAATCCATCGCTGAGGGTACTGCTCAATGAGATGATATCTGACGAGATGGGAGAAGTGTTCTGGGGCACCGTCATACATAAACCACATTTTTCTTCTTGTATTCAGTGGTACATCTTCAGGGAGACGTGGCAAGTGTCTTCTTAAGAGTCACCGATGTGAAGGTCCTCTTAGATGCGATGGAAGCACGTGTGGACCAATGAGTATGTCGCCAACAATTCCTGACCAAACGTTAATTGAAAATCTTTGCTGGAAACTGGATTCACTTTGACATAAAGTCAATTCATTGAAACTTGTTTTTGGCTATTATTTCGAAAATGAAACATTTGCGACCCCATGTTGATAGGAAGATTTTTTCTTATTTTTGATCCTGAAACATGCACACAAAGTTTGTTAACATACTTTTGACTCATCCTGTATATAATGTACAAAATTCATATTGCCTATTGGAATGGTTTGTCTGCCTTCATGTTTCTTAAACCACTTCCTACACACATACCTAACGGCAGATAATTCTCAAAGCTTACTTTTTCCAAAATATATTAATGTTTTTGGTTAAGGTTAGAAAGAACAATAAAAAACAACTGTTTAGTGATTAATTTTTGTGCATAATTTCTACTTGTACAATGTCAGATAACCTGAAAGTTTAGCATAAATACAAAGAGATAATAACATAAGCTCCTAATAAAGTAAAACAAATTGACTAAAAATGGTTACATGCCACCGCGCAGTGCAACTGAGCTAGCTGGTGTAATAATCATTCTAAACTCATACTGCAGAAGCATTTAGTTTCAACCTTAATCAATTTACTAGCTATCCTCTCAGGTCCTTAACAGTTTTCTCGGCCTCTCAAGACAAATACTGGGACACTTACCTTGAAATAGGCCACAGCATTCCTTCAAGTACTTATGTATCCACTTTTCATTATCATCTACCCTTCCTCATACTATATATTGCAGTTCATATTGTTCTTCAGCCATGCTATGTCTTTCTAAGCATAATGAAGTGTGTCCTCGGTGGACTATTGGTTAAGGTGGTCGCCACTAGACCCAAGGTTCGCGGGTTCAGACCGGGCCGAGGGATAAAAATCCTCAGCACAACTTCTTTCGGAGGGGAAGTAAAGCCGACGGTCCCATGTCGTAGATTTACGGCATGTAAAAGAACCTTGCGAGAATAAAATGATATGTTTCGTAAACAAAATTCAGTGATCATTTCTCACCCATGTCTCTCCTGATTCACTACTAGAGGGCTCTGACAGTCGAAATCAGGATTGAGAAGAAATTGTGCACAGGCAGTGGGCTTGTCACTCACTACTCACAAAGGAAGGAGGCGGCAAAGACCCACACTGGGTTATAGAGCCAAGAAAGAAGAAAGAAAAAGTATCATGATAATGGAGTTAACTGGAAGTTTAAACGTTATGAATTTGGAGGAAAGGGAAGAAGTGGTCATGGCTTCTTTAAGGCACAATCCCAGCATCTGTATGAAAGAGGACAAAAAATCTCGACTCCAAATCCAGTGCTGAAGAAAAAGCAGGAATACTGCCACTGAACTTTCTCCACTAGCTGTGTCAGATGACACTAGGCGAGTTTTGCAAGGTAAAAATAACGATCTACTTGAATCATAAGGGCAGTGGAGATAAAGATCTAGATGTGCTCAACTTCAACCAATTTAGAGTGGGCAAGTTTCAGAACCAGCGTACACACAGTGATGGTGAAGAGAAAAGTGATAAATCCTGTACCTGCCACAAATCAAACCCTGCATTGCCTTTTCCTTTCCAGGAAAGAAAGCTTAGAATATCTGAGCAGAACTAATATTTAATTTTTAAATCTACATTGTGTTAAATACTATTTGTTTGTGAGATTATTTCATTTCAGGCTGCATCTTTTTTCATAAATTTATAATACCATACAATATGTTAATATTTACTCTCATCTTTTTCATTAGTTTTCTTTATCACCAATTATCTCACTGTCCTTCAGTCCCATTTGCCAGATAATAGAAATCTACTGTATATACTTCCATATATAAAATTTGTAGGCACTTTTATCTATCCTCATAACACATTTCAAATGTCTAGCTGGACTACTACTACTTTATGTTCAACAAAAAAGTTCTTAACAACAATTTTATAACTTCTTAAATTCTATCAACACACAGAAATTTTGGATTCAACATTAAGCAGGCTCGTGTTTAAGACTTAAAATGAGTTGCTACATGGCATGAAAGGATTTACGATTTAGACAGATGCTAACTAAACCCAATTATATCATTACCTTGTGCGGGAAAGACTAAATTATAGAATTACACAGAACAGTTTCACACTAAAGTGTTCCAAATATATTTGTTTTGCTTTGTATGCCAAAAATAATATTAAATACTACACATACAGCATATGTTCTGTATTCAGTTGCAATCTCAAATTAGTAGAGAATTAAACATGACCTACAATATCTCTCTACAAAGTTAAAGCCAAATATGTGTAATACAAATCAAAATAACCCACTTAAAAATGTGTTTCCTATACAGGTAACTCTGGGTTTACGAAAGTTTGATTTACGAACATTCGCTATAACGAACGTCACAATTCATTCAAAATTTCTTAAAGTCGCCAATAGATAGAGTTCCTTATAAAAAGAAATGCCAAATGTAGAGTGAACATAATTGTCAGATTTAAATAAATAGAAAAATTTATTACAATAATTAAGAGAAAATTGGTTAATAAAACTAATCTAGCCAGTAAAAAAACGTTGGTTTACATGCCACGCCGCGTAGGATGTTTTCTCGTGGGAAAGAAATTGGTGATTCCCCTAATTATAATATATAATAATATCATAAAAGCTCAGGAATGCAAGATACAAATTAATGAACAAAAACTTATAACGAATGTCTTGGAACGGAACTCGGTCGTAAACCGAGAGTTGCCCGTATAAACCCTCCAACCACGTACAAATTAAGCAAATCTTTACAAACACACAAACTTATTCCCTAGATAGAGCATTTCATTTACCTTCCTATCTGGCTGAAGTTCACGTGAGGCAGAAATTTTAATAAACAGTTCAAGAGTGGCTTCTTGAAACTTAATGTTTTTATGACCTTCATCACAGTTTTCTCCAAAACTTCAAGAAATTTAAGGCAGATTTTCTAATAGGTGTGTGTGTTTACATATATAACTTTGTAAATATTGAAATGCATCAAACTTGAATGCACATAAAATAAGCCAAAAACCAAAGAATATTGTGTAAAAGTAAAATTTGTTTATCAGATGATTTATAATTAAAGTGAGATATGAAATCATATTCTCTAAGGCTAGATCCTTGAAAACTGATAATTTTGCAAAATGCCCAAACAATTTCATTTAAACACTACTGTAGGATACCGTTTATTCTCCATGTTTGGTCTTATACTATTCTAGTACACTGTTACTTCTCTACTACTTATCATCCATTAGAACTCATTTGTCTAACATTATTTAAAAAAATGCAACATTTTCTGAAACACCATCAGGTTACTGGCAAGTCATGAAAACAGTCTTCAGCAAATCACATGTTGTTTGTATAGCACAAACAAATATGAAATCTAGTGGGGAGAAAATTATCAAGTGTGCAAGAGAACTTTATACTTCAAGATGGTTATCTTCTGGATTGCTGTGTTTGTAGTTTGGTAGAAGTTCACTGACGTTTCAGAGATTCTCGCTGCCTCCACCATCATGGCAATAAGCAAGGACCTCTGAAACGTCGGCAAACTTCTAACAGACTACATGGCGCAACAACCCAGAAGAAAGTCATCTTCAGACACCACTGCAATAACCTCAAATCCTATATATTTAAACATCGATATTTGGCTGAAATGTTGACTTTATACCAGTGTGAAAACGCTGATAACTTCTCAGTCTGAAAAATTTTCATCACCTTCTTGCTCCAAAAACATCTTCTGTTTATCTTCTGATGTGATCAGCTCAATAATGGCTCTGTAATGCAGAATGAAAAGATGCATGAAGCACACGTAAATGAACTGTAACCATGTCTGTGTTTTTTTGCACAAGGATATCATGCAGACTGACAGAGTGTCAACACAACAGATATTGTTATATGGAACTATTCTGTGCTATGGAACAGTGACACACCTGAAACAAGCTACTCGAGTTGTTTATAATTTCTTTGTCTATGCAAATGACAGAGTAGTATTTTTATATGGCCTCTTCCCATATTCCTCCTGATCCATAAATCACAAACGTTTTATTTATTTCTTATCTGACTGAAAACAATCTCTTAAATGGGCTCAGCATTACAAAATAATCTAAGATAAGCTTATTGTTGGTTTACAGGTGTTAAATTTGATTTGTTGCCCTTTGCAATTTTGCATGCATCACTGGCCCTGTTCATTCACTCGAGATACTAATATATTCCTCCAAAGATATGAGTCAGAAAACTTCTTCATTCTACTTCGTTAAATATACAACACAGCAGAAAAAGTTTCACACAAATGTGGTAGTCCTCAATGATTTTGTTGTTCCTTGGCTCCACAACCACATTGGGGGTTTTTACCACCTACTTTTTGGAAGTTTCCTAGTCTCTGAAGTGTGCATTTGTGAGTAGTGAGTGACCAGCCCACTTACTCTGCACAATTTCTACTCAATCCTGATTTTGACTGCCAGAGCCATCTAGTAGTCAATCAGGAGAGATCTGGGTGAGAAATGGCGGCTGAATTTTGCTTACGAAACATTTCATTCACGCTCATAAAGACTTTAACATTATATATACTTAAAGTCATGTCCAAACCTTTTGCATACTGTGAATTTTTACACACACATTCTGTTTAATTATAAAGTGCCATAATTCGGACTTGACATGGACATAAACTAAATCTGCCTCAAAAGCAAATTTCATCGAAGTCAATAGAGTGAATTAACCCATGAACATACATGAGCAAACACACTTAATTTGCACGGGTATTTACAACAGATGCACAAAAGACTTAGCTTTGACAACCTTAGAAACATATTCCAAATACAAAATGTATGAGAAATTCAGTTCATTTGGAGGGGATAAAAATGACTGCAAACACTGCCCCATGCCATGAAGGCATACAGCGACAGTGGAGGTAAAGCTTCATGCATTCAGGACCTCAGTATGAGGTGAAGTTCAGTGGCCAGCTTCATATCCAGGCCGCTATACTCTGCAGCCAGTGACATGAGCATGAGTGACCAATTATATGGTCTGGACATGCCAGCAAAGAGAAAAATATGTCCCTGCTAGGAATAAAACCCTGGTCATCAAACCTTCACCTATTCACTTTTATCACTATGCTATCCCATATCTACAAACACACATGTAAGATTCACCTGAGGACTGCCCCTTCATTGCTGTAACAGCTCCAATTAATGGTCCCAGGATGCGTGATCTTATACTCCAAGAGCCGATCCAGCCTTGTTCTCAATTCCTGAAACAGATAACATACAAAAGCTATTTTCCAACAGCCCGACCGTTCTCTTCAACATTGGATTTGTGACTTACACTAACCTTGACTAGGTTTGCAGTGCGTTCCTTACACTTGAAGTGTAATGACTTGTCAACAGCAATTGTTTCAACACCATCTTCAATAAAAAAATCCACACCTTGTCCAAAGAAGAGGAGTGGCAGAGGGTAAACCATTGTTGTATCATGCAGATAGATAGATGTGCTCTTTAGTTTCAAGTGGTACAAGAGCAACGGACTTTCAAATTCGGTCTCCTTCTCATTAATGGAACGAGGGTGAATGCAAACTCTCCCATCCTCAGGTGTTGTTAATGTGACAACAACTTGTCCTGTCCTGTTGCTTCTCTTGACAGACCTGCAAGAAAGTAACATCTCCATAACCAACCTCAGACAGACAGTTAATATGGGCTGGAGATCACACAGGCTATTGAAAAATGTAAAAAGGATGAAGGGTGAAGAGATGCTTGAAACCAAAATAAAGGCAACTGATAATGGCACTGGAAAGAAATTTATGGAGAGCTGTTGAAGTGTCGTAGATACTGTCAACAAAACTATATGACTGTTCATTGCAGTTACAATGGTTAAGATGTTTGCACTATACAACGGGTCATCTGCCATAGACTATACTTCATCAAACATCTTCAACTATAACAACAGAATTTTTATCATACCTGGTCATTTCTTCAATACCCAACTACAATGACAGAACAAAATTAAAGACATCAACAACCCCAGAACTCAAGACTTCACATCATAACCAACCTGCAAAAAGACCATCATCACAAAATGTGATTTAGATCAAACTTCACCACATTCAATTTTATCGCCCTTATCTATTTAACTATTCTATATTTTTATTTGAATGAGTAGGAGCTATACCTCCTCTCCCCCCAAATGACCTACATGGCATGTAGTGGGACTGCTTTACTTTAATTTTCATACTTTTATTTATTTTATTAATAAATACTTTTTAATATTTTATCTCTTATTTTGTAAGTATGCATCCACAGATAGCAATCATCATGTAAATTACACATTTTAGTATGTGTCAATGACATTTACTGTATATGAGCACCCAAAGATGGCAAATTTCAAAAATATTAGTGCAAACATCTTACTACTGTAACTGAAATAAAGAATCATATAGTAGTCTGAAACAAGGAAAGAAGATGAAGTTCCAGGAATTAAAATGAGAAGCTGAGAATAGGGAAAACTGGAGAGCTCTTTTTGGGCAGAGCAATAGACCTGTCATAAGGCAGAACACTGAATAATAATAATAATAATAATAATAATAGTTGTGTTGAAACCGAGTCACAGTAATATAACCATTCCATCAATAACAGAGGAAATGCTGTTATGAAGCCGGTCCAGAGGATAAAGGTAGCAGCCCGACCAATGGAATACTGATCGCCAGGCAAGTAACCTGACATAAGAAAATAATATGGCGCTTAACGCAAAAAGCAGACAGAACAAGAGAAACAAACCAAGTTTACAATATTAAGTTATTTCAAGATGAAAGCATTAAATGATTATACACCCAAAGAATAGAACAACAAATGAGAACAATACCTGAAAACATTGATACTGAAAAAGAATGGGAAAATATTAAGACAATTATAAACACAGCAGCTAATGGAAATCTTGTAAAACTAATATAAATCCTAAAAAGAGAAAATCTGGAAATAAAAAAATATTTTCAATAAAAATTTAGCATATAACAAATATTTAAATACAAAAAAAGTAGATGAATTTGAATACAAATGCTGTAGAGCCCTAGCAAAGAGAAACTACAAAAACACAGACAATCTTGGGAAACATTCATTTCACATTTAGAATCAGATCTATATAAGAGAAAATCAAATGCATTTAAAATTATTAAACATATGAATCAAGATACTAAAGAATCTGTTAAAATAAACTGTGAAAAAACTAAAGAATTTCTTAAATACTACACAAAACTTTTGACTGATATGTACAAGGTGCGATCGGAAAATTTCAAGACTGCGCCTATAAAAACCCGTACACTTATCTCAGGTATTAAGTTCATCCATCACCCTCGAAGTAGTTCCCCTGGGAGTGAACACAACGATCCCAGCGCCGCTGCCAAGCCTGGAAGCATCCCTGGAAATCTTTCTTTGTCAGCCTGTCAAGCACCATCTGCGATTCTGCCTGAATCTCTTCTATCGTCTCAAATCTCCTTCCCTTTAGCTGAATTTTCAATTTACCAAAACGCCCGTAACTAAGAAACAAATGCTAATTCGATGATGCCGGCTCGCACACTGATTCACTATGAATGTAGGCCGCACCCCCTAGCGGCAGAAGCTCGTACTACATCCAGTTCGCCCTCTATTGACAACAAAAGTTTGTGCACGACCCATTGCGGACTCCCCAAATGCTTGCTTTAGCATTTCATAGGTTTCCGTAGCCGTTTTGGCAAGACTTTAGCAAAATTTGATGCACACGCCATTCCGAAATCGCAGGAGGGTCGGTGTAATGCACTACCAAAACGCCCGTAACTAAGAAACAAATGCTAATTCTTTGATGCCGGCTGGCACAGTGATTCACTATGAATGTAGGCCGCACCCCCTAGCGGCAGAAGCTCGTACTACATCCGGTTCGCCCTCTATTGACACAGTCTTTAAACTTTCTGATCGCACCTCGTACTTTAGTATTGAATACTGTAGCTGTTATACAATCTTTAAGAAAGCTATGAGAAATGTTAGTTAAGGTAATCACTCTTGGCTAAGGTTTAAACTGCAAACCTCACAAATACAAGCAACACCAAAGTGAGAAGAACATAGTGCTCACCGTACAACTGCAACATTGGGATAGAGACCAGCACAGATAATGGCTTTCACAAGGCTTGAATTGTTCGAGTTGATGTTTGAATCTTCAGCTTTTGGATCCCTGCTGCTAAGGAAATTCATTTCATGAAGGTGTTCAGCAAACTGGCCCTTCATGTCTCTGCAAAATTCATAACAGAACCAAACAATTTCATTGGTATTTAGTGTTCAGTAAACGCTGTCTGTCCTTATACAAACCACAGGAACAAAACAAGTGATTATATTTTATGGAACTCCATTTCAACTAATTTTAAGTCAGAAACCATAAGATACTGTGTGAAAAACTGATAATATCAAACTTCCTTCAATGTTTACATGTTTACAGAAATGTAATGATTATAGACCAAACTTCCTTCAAATGCTCCCAAATGTTTACAGAAATGTAATGATTATAGAACAAGCAAACTGTTTGTTCAAAATTTCCACTTGTACACATCTGCAACACCTCAAAGCAACGATGCAAGTCAGAGGGCTGACTTGTTGTCATATCTGAAAATCTACACTGAGCACCACAACAGAGTGACCAGTGTACGCGCGTGTGTGTTGAAAGCATCGACAACAATACAGTGAATGAATATGTCCAGACTGTAGCACTAGGAGCTGTCCGAAATCCAAACGTTAAACATTAAACTGCTAGCAGTACCTGAGTAATGAAAGCGTGTTGGGCGAAAGGAAGTATTCCCAACAGAACTCATGCCCTCTTCTCATTTGTTCAGCTGCTTCCCACTGTTTAAGTGCCTCAGCCAGGACTAAATGATCACTTTTCAATCCCTTGGAAAGATGCAGCTTCTTCCGATTTACATCTGCCTCACGACCCTTCAGCAACATAACATCAAACATTCGGAGTAATTAAATTACAACTATATGTATATAAACTTAAGAGTATGGTAATTTTGCAAGTCAGAAGACAAACAAAACTAAGCACTAACCTAAATCACACATGTGGCTTTGTCCCACCTAGGAAACTAATTTGTACTCACACAGTCACTTACTGCTACTGTGCACAGTAAATAAAACATTTTCATTAGTTTCAAATACATTACAATAGTGTTCCTGCAATACCAAAAACAGAAAGCAATTGCTACTCATCCCCACCATATCATCTGAAAGATCAAACCTTTTCATATCCTGCTACTACAAGATACCCTCTCAAGATCAATACTGATAAATTAAGTAATTTTATTATACTACGCTAGATAATTAACACAGTTCAGCAGAGAGTAAGGACAGACACACATACTGCTCTTGTTCAAGGTATGATCAACAAGAAGTTGTAGAATTTATTTTAATAACCACACAACCATTGTTTCAATTCTACTAATTATGTTATTTTAGTACAGTCCATTTGGTTCTTATTCAACTGGATTACATTAATCTGTGGCTCTGAAAGCATCAAAACAAATCAGGAAATAAAGATTATCAGATGACATAACATAGCCAAACAAAGTTCATCACAGCATGTGATGATATTCCAAAGTCTCACCAATGGAACATGAAAAGCATCTTTGAAACTGAGGCTTGCGGCAACAGAGAAGATTGGGTCGACACAGCTGAAGAGGGCACCCATCAGAATCATCTTCCCAGTCTGTGGGTCGAGAGGTAATCTGGCCAAGTGGAAACCCAAGGGTGTGAGGTTCTCATCTGCATCTAAAGCATTTAGGTTCTCCAGTAACTGTCAGAGTAAACATACATCAAAATGTAATTTGTATGCATGTCAATTCATGGATACCTGCATAAACAAAATGTAAAATAATGAAAACCCACAAAGATTAAAACAAGAGTGGAAATTTCCACACCTTCCCTTTGTAATTTTGTATCATTGGTTCCTGAAGATACACCCTGGTTGCTATTGGAGCTAATCACAGTACAGATGCTATATTGCAGCCATTAATTTCACTGTTGACAAAGTTACCAACAGGAAAGAGATTATACTGCACCAAGCAGGCCAATGAAACCAAGATGTGCTGCTGGCTTATTTTACAACGCAGCCTGTGATCAAGGCCACATCATGAGAGAAAGGATAGAACATGACAGAGAAAAACACAAGGGCATTTAGTTTTGCATATCAACTGGAAATGTTTTAACTGAGTTGGAAACAGTTAGTTATTTATATAATTTAAAACAATTAATTTATCCCTGACAATAAGAAACACATGGGAGGGATTCCAAGGCCCAAAAATAATATTCTAATATTTTGCATCAAAATTATTTTCCTGAAAATGATGACATAAATTATGTAATCTTCTGTTGATTTGCTAATAATGCTCTGATGTGAAGGCCATACAAACTGTTGTTGTTCTGATCACTGAAAGATATAACAGAGCTTGTAGCTGTGACATAATTATATAATCTTTTATGTATGCATCTTTTCTGTATTTAATATACATATATATAATATTGTATATACACAACAATAAAAAAGTTTTAGAACTTAATGAGATACATAGCATACATCACATACTAGCATTTTGTACAAAGAGTCATTTTTAAGAAATGTGGCCAAGTGTTGCCAGGTTCTCTAAGTGCTGGACTACATAATTTACCTTAATTGACAATTCAACTGCACGAGGATCTGGAGGATCCATCACTCTCTCTAAGAACATTTTTGTTTTTCCCAACTGCAGTATCTTGATCTGCAAGATAACCTCATCCAGACAAGTCCGCAGCATCTCAGGAAGTGGGTAGTCTGCCAGAGCCATCTCTCTTGCCCTTGTATACAGATGGTAACATTCCCCTGGCTGCACTCTGCACAGAATTCAAAACTATATTACACAGAACTGCAGCAAAGTACTACAACGAACTTTTGGAAGCAACATGCACCTACTTCAGAAGCAGTAGCATTACTCATAGACCCTGTAAGTGTTCATAAGCAATCTCTACACAGAAAATCATTAATTTTGCAACATAAATAACTCAAACAATGAGTTGGTGGTTCTTATTTTATCACAAAATATTAACTGCTAAGGTTACACAAACTGAAATGAAACAGTATAATGTGTAAGTGAGAACTTGAGAAGAAAATGGGGAAAAAGTAACAGTTGTCAGAGAGAGAGAGAGAGAGAGAGAGAGAGAGAGAGAGAGTTGCTAGCTTGGCATTTGCTTGAAGGGACTGAGAAAAACCACAAAAAACTCAAGGTGATATTCAAAATGGATGCCTGCTCTATCATCACATTAATGTACATGTTACAGCAGAGGTGTGTCTGCTCACATGACATTGTATGGACACATTTTAAGAATGAATGAAGAGTTCCAAAGGTTCAAAACACGAGGAAAAAAAACAAACAAGATGAACAGACAGATCAAGATGATAAGAATAGGTTAGGGAAAATGTGACAAAGATGGAAGGAAAAGCATGCGAAGAAACTGAGAAAGAGAAGCTGTGGGAAGAGAGAGTTGTAGTTGTCAGATGACCCACTTAAAATATAACTTTTATTTTCTTAACATTTAATCTTAATTTTACTGAATGTGTATAACTTGAAGGTTACATAGTGACCAAATTAAACAAAATCCTCTTGGGTCATCTACCACATCAAGTGGCCAAAAGAAATAAAAGTTTTGGGAACCATCTCCATCCATTTGATCAGAGACGTAATGTAACTGGATACTTCACATGTGCCCTTTGTATACCGGCTCAGCTTCGAGTACTGAAAGCAAGTGATGACAGGCCGTTTGCTTACATCAGACTGCACTACTGTACATTCACTAAACAATGCAGTTCAGTACCTAAAAGTGATGATGTTAAGATTATAAATAATAATAAAAGTTTAAAAAAGTACTTTATCTGCTACTAACCTGCCTGCACGCCCTCGCCTTTGTCTTGAATTGGCTAAGCTCACCCATTCTTCTTTCAGAGTTGAGATGTTATTCTCAACATCAAAATTCTTCAGCTTAATTTTACCACAATCTATTACATATACAACATCATCAATTGTAATAGATGTTTCAGCTAAATTTGTAGCAATGATGATCTTACGCACACCTAAAAAGTAAACAATGTCTATTACCTCAAAAGCAAGTTGAAATGAATCCTGTATGATACGAGGCTTTTATAGCAGTGACTGTGGTCTTCTAGGTGACCACCAATGTTTCACAAGTATGCAATGCCTCATTCTAACCAGAAGATTGGGTAGCATGTGCCTCTGTAACATCAGTAACCACTTAAAAGACTATACAGTGTCACAACTGAGAAGACCTGATAAATGAACAGTGTTTTCAATAGTAGCTTTTTTGTAAATGCCAATAACTATGACTCTGCAAGAAACCTACACACCTGCCACTTCAGAGAAATGCAACAAGAGGGAATATATACAGCATTTTATGGAAATTTCAAGTACAAAACCCAGTTTTCAAGTCACAATATTACTGCATACATCACATGAATGTCTACTTCACATACTGGTCCACATTTTTTCTTAAATTATGTTTTCAAAATTTCTCTAATCATTCTTCCAGAAATCTAGCTCATTTTCCAAAAATTATTAGTCCTCCACTAAAACTGTGCATTGCAAACAGATTTTACATGCAGGTTACTGGCTGTTACTGAAAATTTACCTTTCGGAGGCTGGTCAAACACAGACTTCTGAATCACTGTAGGCATGAGTGAATGGAGTGGAATGATCAAATAGCGAGCTGAAAATAATACGACACTTTGTGATAACCATCATATGACACAATAAATATAACAGAATTCTTTCATTTCCCATAGCTCAGTGCTTGGCTTGTTTGGTTTATAAACATGGTGGTAGATATAACAAGAACTGCTTCAAAGTGAATGTAGAGAATTAATACAAAATGAATAGGCTGTGACAGTTCAGTGCCTGAACCACGTTTCTCAACTTGTGCCAGAACCCAAGAGTTTCCTCTTTGCCACCATTCCTCAGCCCAGCTCTGGCATCACCCAGCTGTCTACCCAGTGGTACAACTGATTTTTAGGATGTAAACAGAGACAAAAAGAAGTGTTAAAAGAATAAATTACTGAAAGAATAAAAATGCAAGACAATTTTACCAGGTAATGAGGGCCATGCTCTGAAAATGCCCAAGGAGGGGAAAATATGCCATAAGTTACTATATGCCCATATTAATGTACAGAGCAGGAACTTCAACATGGACCAAGGCAGATACTAGTAGATAAATGGCAGAAGTGACTATATTTTTAAGATGAATAGAAGGAAAAACCAAAAGAGATAAAACAAGAAATGAAAAAATTAGATAGACTCTAAAGATAAATGCCCTAAAAGGCAAACAGCTATAGAATGAGACACATTTAAAAATGAATGGAAAGACAATTTAAAATGTTTCAAACATGAAAACATGCAGGAGGGAGAATGGGTTCAAGATGGGACCAACAGGTAAGTGAAGATGTGATGCAGGAAAGGAATAAAAAGGACAGAAATCGAGGAAAGAGAGGCTGATGGTGAGGACTGGTTGTAAGATGACCCACTTAAAATGGAAGTGACTTAAGAAGAAAAATGTGTTCTTTCTAGAAATTCAAAGATTTCACTAACATAAATTAATCTTCTTGTACTTACAAGATGGGAAACTGACATTTTCATTAAGCAGCTTGTGCAAACTAGAAATCTTATCCCAACCAGGCAGGAAAACTAAGATTGCACCATCATCCTTTGTGATACATATGTGATGAATTAAAGCAGCAATTAAATCCAAATTGATATCTTCTGATGAAGGATTTTTCAACATCTCCAACACACGTGATGAATATTTACCTTCTGATACAAGATGCCTAAAAGAAAAGTGAATTAGTAAGTGCAGTTATACTCTGACAACTCAGACAGTTTAGAACATTCAGTAGGCCTTAACTAAGCAAAGCAAAGTAAAGCTGTCCCACTATACGCCATGTAGTCATTTGGGGGGAGTGGAGGTACAACTCCTATTCTTTCTTGACCTCGGCACTAGATGGGGTGAGTGTTCAGCATCACGCCCCGGCCGTGCTTTACCCCTGGGAAAGGACCCCAGTACACATTGGATAGGTGGCTGGGTGGGTCCCAGAGACAGTCTGGATGCAGAGGCTACAGGAAAAATCCTTTGCCCCTGTCAGGGATCAAACCCATCATCCAGAACATAGCTAGTCGCTATACTGACTGAGCTATCCCGGCTCTCAGGCCTTAACATAAAAAATGTTTAAAAAACTTGGTTTAACAGCAATTATGATTTACAAACTTTAATCAAAATAAAACAGTATAAGGCATATAGAACAAAAGAAATCACTCCTTAGGGTTCTATGATTTAAGAGTTTTCTGTGATTAGGATTAAATATTTCACAGTCCTGTACAACATTTCATAACAATGTTAGCTCTTCACCCAATCCCCAAGCCTCCCTATCTGCACACTGTTTATTCAATACACTCACAGCTGCCCTTTACATCCAGAAGCTGTCTGCTCCATCTGAAACCTGATTACACACCTCCATTACCTTAGAATACAATCCAGTGGCTGGGTTTCTGAACACAGTAATGGCATTTTGGGTTTAAAAACAGAAGGGAATATCTTGAACAGCAGAACTACTAAAAATAAAAGTCAACAAAACTATAGACAGCTAACTGACAAACAAAATTTTAATAAGAAAATTAAAATACACAAAAATATCTATGCCATGTTACTGTCCATTCTTGACTGTACATAGAAATCAAATTAACCAACTCTATGAAGGAGAGTTCTTCAGAAGCTCTCATCTAGTCAAGAAACTCAACAGTTCACTACCATGTTCACAAGAGACTGCCAATGGACCCTATCCTGAGCCACACAAATCCAGCCAACATCCCCACATTGTATTTCAATACTGTCCTCCCATCAAGGCGTGACAAATTCCCTTTAGCTTTTCTAACTGAAGTCACCTCCCTGTGTAGGACACGCCAGTTCATTGCTGTATAAATACACCATCCTTACCTCAAATATGGCTCAATGAAATCTCTGAACTTCTCCACTTTTTGAATCTCTGCCTTGAAGGGCTTCAAATGCTTCCTCCATCCATGAACATGAAGTTCTCTTGATGGTTTAATCTCAAACCTTTAAAAATATTATAAAAGTCTGAAATATATATACACTGAAATAGTCACCCAGTCTCCTAATGCTTATTATTCACTAACTGTTTGGGTTCCAGCTCTAAAACCCAAGAAGGCATAAGGGTGGTAGGAATTCCCCTAACAAGAAGGAAGTGTGTGATAAAGAAATTACACTTGCAAGCACAATGTACCACAATGAGCAAACTTATTGGTATCAAATATCTTCAGGGCAGACAACGGTTGTGTATACCAGATCAGTAGTCGTGCTGAATGGCTGGTCCCACTGCACAGCCGTTGCTTTTCGTCTCTCATCACACAAATTGTCCCACAATGTCTCAGAGGTCGAACCCAAACAGTAATAATATGTGTCACTATAAAAGGGTTAAAAGAAATAAAGAAGTCAATTTAATGATGGCGAAATGTACATATTATTTTTTATCAAAATATAAACTGGGGAACGTGCTGCTTTACATCCACTGTTGTCTTGTTGCCAGGCGCATATGAACACAGCGCTTCATGACTTGCAATCTTCAGTCCCTACAATGTTTGGATAAACAAATATCAATGAAGAAGAGACACACAACAGGCATATGGGACACATAGAACATATATTATGAGATAAGTTGCACTGTACCTGGTCATCTCTAGGACATCCTCCAGGTAGTACTCTGTTACTGGATAGGTAAAGCCTGGTATGTTCATACAGGGACAGTCACCATAATATTTAGCAAACTGCTTAGCATTTAAAGTGGCACTCATCAAAATGACTTTCAAGTCTGGCCTCTGCAAAATTAAAACAGAAAAATTAACTTTATTTATTTGTGCTTCTTAACCTTACTGGATTCAAAAATCACTGCCTATCTGACATGGAACACAGTATAAATAAATGTACAAACCTAAAACACCTAGTAACTCCATGAAGCAAAGTCCTTCCTGGGAAGGTAAAAGTCACTCATCTAAACAACATATTCCTTGACTTTACAGAAAACCTAAAATTTTGTAAACATAATCAATAGAACCCTCCACTGTTCTCCTCCCATCTTGGTAGGTTAGGCAACACAAATCCATTCCATACCATCACATCCTCCCATCTATGCCTAGGTCTCTCAGCAGTCCCTTCTCTTCAGGTTTTCCAGCTACTGTTTTCAATGCATCCCAAATTCTGTAATATTTGACTTTATCAGAGCTGAAAAACAGATAAGTCACACAGGAAATTCAACGACTGACAAGCCTTAGGACACGAGTCCAGCAGTATCAGGCCCTCTATATTTCAGTCTCCTTTATTTTAGAATACAGGACTGATGAGTCGAGACTGAGATTCTCATAGCAGTAAGTATGAAGATGGTTTCTTTTGGGTCATTACATCATGTAAAGTAAAGTAAAGTAAAGTTTGTCCCACTATACGCCATGTAGGCGTTTGGGGTGAGTGGAGGTATAGCTCCTCTCTTCCTTGACCTCGGCACTAGATGGGGGTGAGTGGTCAGCATCATGCCCCGGCCGGCTTTACCCCCGCGAAAGGACCCCGGTACCCATTGTAGAGGAGGCTGGGTGGGCCCCAGAGCCGGTCTGGACGCAGAGGCTAGAGGAAAAATCCTCTGCCCCCGTCGGGGATTGAACCCTGGTCGTCCAGCCTGTAGCTAGTCACTATACTGACTGAGCTATCTTGGCTCATCATTACATCATGTAGTCCTGTATATATTCATCAAACTTCTACCAGCTATCTTCAGGACTATAACACCTAAAATACTGAACCATAAGCAATCACAAAAATTCAGACTTATTCAGGAAACAACAACTATCAGCAAAGCATAGCTGAATTCCCAGACAATTGCATTCCTCACAACATTTGCAACAAACCTTCTGAATTACATCCTTGAGAATTGTGATAACAAAGTCACAAATAACATCACGTTCATGGATTTCATCCAAAACAAGATGAGACACTTCTCTAAGGGCTGGATCAGTCTGCATCCGCTGAAGCATTACACCAGTAGTGCAGAACACTATAGAACCCTTTGTACGTGGTATCCTCCTGTAAATGGACAACAGATTAAACTGATTCCAGCCAACACTGTTGTAAATATGAAACAATGGAAGGCTGATTAATATTCAGATACTAGGAAACATGTTTCTTTTCTATGTATGCCTGTATTTCATACACAGGTATCCTAAGAAATTTGTTTTGTTTGTCTATACCTACTGATGCCACAAATTTATGGTTGAACAATAATGTTTGTACCCCTGCTGGAGAAACAACCTGATCTAATCTCTGTAGATACTGGCTTGTTGTCAGTTTGCATACCATACTGGCTTCCATGTTCATTTACTGCACATCTTGTAGTGAACTAATTTTCACTGTCCACATAACAAGAACATCATATGAATGTATGATTTGAGGTTTTCACAGCGGTGAGTATGAGGATTTCTGTCGTCTGGGTTGTTGCGCTGTGTAGTCTGGTAGATGTTAACCAACGTTTCAGAGGTCATACTGCCTCCGGATTCAGGGCAATGAATATTCATCGCCCTGATAATGGAGGCAGTATGACCTCTGAAATGTTGGTAAACATCTACCAGACTACACAGCACAACAACCCAGAAATCTTCAACATCATATGAAGTAGAATGCATAATTCTGAGAACTCACCTTTCCAGTCTAATTTGGTACCCCACACTCTCTTGTCCACAAACTTCATACCTCTCCTCGGCTACTCGAGTTGCTACCGACATGGCACTAATTCTGCGAGGCTGTGTGCATATAACATGACATGTAGACCCTTTATCCTTCATGATGTAATCATCAAGAATAAACTGTGCTACCTGGGTGGTTTTGCCACATCCTGTAACACAAGTGTCTGACATAAGTACAGTATAATGAGTCAACCTGTTGGACAAAACAATCTTCTTTTTGTTGGCTCTACTTGCAAGTTCATGTGACCAGTTGTCATTGTACTGAAAGATTTTCATTTATTGTATCTCATGTTAATATTGGTGGCAGCAGTTGGGGTTGAACTTAAAATAACAACCAATCAACTCCACAGATCTGCCTTCTTGAGAACTGACATCACTCGGTCAGTCAAAAAAGTCACTACCCTTTATGCAACCCGATGGTTCATTACCATGTTCACAACAGGATCCATTATGAAGCCAGCAAATCCACTTCACACCCACACTTCTTATGTACTGATTTTAATGTTAACATTATATCCTCTGTGCCTTAAGCTCATCCTGTCATGCATGCTTACATGTTCTGCCCATCCCAGTCTGAAGCTCCTCACTATGCAATTTTTTCAATTCCCTGCTACTTCTTGTCTTAGATTCAAACATTATCCTCAGCACTTCAATACATGTTCTTCTGTTAAGGCAAAAGTGAAGTTACACACCCATATAAAACATCACATAATGCCCTACACATAGTGTACCAAAACTGTACAATAACTATTATACTGTCCAAGCGATAGTTCTGATAAAGAAGTTTAAAAATCTGAAAAATTCAAGACCACTGTCACAGTTAAGTTTTCCTGGTGACCCATGTTACAAATAAATAAACTTTCCTTTGACAATAAAAATCTTACCTGTTTCTCCACTAATGACAACAATCTGATTCTGCTCCACAAGCTCTAAAATCTGATCCTTCATTGCAAATGATGGCAACTTCCGCCGAAATGCCATCATCTTCTGGTAGTGCTTGGTGTCTTGTTTAGCAAGCAGTCTCATTTTAAAAAGTTCATCCAATTCTTTGTCCTGTGCCAAAAATTTTCCCACTAGCAGTGAACGTTCTAGATTTGCTGCAATGTTTCCTGTTATATTCTGTAAAAACTTGCGTTTGAAAGAACTCTCACCAATGTGACTGTATCTATCTGCAGCAGAACTTCCATGCTTGTTACAGTTACTTGGTCCAGGCTTTACGTCACTATCGGTAGTATTTAATGTCCTTGTAAAATGTGTATTTTCTCCTGAAATTTCTCCGTACTCATCATGTGGTTCCAATTTTATTTCACGTTTCAAATCCATGGAAAAGTCTTGATTAGCAGAACCTTCTCCAACTTGATCCCTTGGTTCAACCTTTACTTTGGGTTTCTCATCTAGCGAAAAATAACAATTACCAGAAACACCTACAACCTTTGTTTTGGAATTCACATCACATTTCTTATCACGAAAGAAGTCAGGTTTATCAATAGAATTCAATAACTTCCTGATTTTTTCCTCCTTTCTTGAATCAAGGCTGACTCCAATGCGCTGTAAATAAAATTACATTGTGAATTATAAGGCAGTAGTATATAATCCTAAAATACTCTAAAAATTACATCAACATCATTAATACCAGTTCAGTCAAAACACAGATAGTAAAAAGGGGTCTCTATGTACATACAAACTGCAACACTTTTAAAAACAAATATTAAACCCACGATAAACTGGTGTTAGTGCATAATAAACAATGTATCATAAATATTATCTGATACAAAGATGTTTTCACTTAGCAAACAGATTTCAATTGTCAACTGTAGAAAATTTAATACATGTCCCTACAGCTTATAAATTCACCATGTAACTGAGCACTTGGGCTCACTTTCTCTGAATCTTTCATACTTAACTTCAAACAAAAGTCAAGAAATTTTCACAAATACTGTACATATTTGAGACCAATGGCTGCCAGCTAGTATGAGCAGAAGAGTTACACACATTGAACATGCACTTACAATTGTTTGCTTCTCAGCTCGTGCCTTGTCCCGATAATATAAACCTGAAAAAGAAGTAATAACTTAGTTCAATTTGTAAAAAACTACATGAAAAATGAACAGAATTTTAGTTCATCTGATGCATGTACTCCATTTTGTGCATCTTCTTGAGAAGAAACTGCATGAGAAATGACAATATTTAATTCCCAAATTCACACTCTATAATCAGGAACAATTAACAGAAAGAAGATATTTTCTTTCATTGCTAATAACGGTAAATGCCTCTCTAAAGCTCATAACCTTTGGAGTTCAATGCATTGACCAGCGCGATACAGCATAATAGTTCTAATAGTTGTCTCCAATTTTCAACTTCACTTCCGCAAAATTACTACTTGCTTAACAATCCCAGAAACAAGGACCAGGTGGTCTCAGGGCCTCACAACAGACTCTAATTCAAAGGATTATGCGTTCAGTTACTGGTTAGATGTGTGGGCAGATACTTCTGGTCATAGGTTCAAACCTTCACCTCCACAAAGACAAAACCTTGAGACTGTGAAGAAAATCAATCCACCATTATGGCTCAGAGTCTACATCAAACAGTTCAACCCCTCTGCCAACCATGATTATCATGATTGCAATGACACTGGGAGTAATAGAATTTGGCCTGTTGGTTCTACACCCTTGCCTTGGTGGGCAGAATTTAAGGAGGGTATGGAGATTATCATAGCCCATAAATAAAAGCATCAGACACACAGAAACAAACAATATCATTCACTACAACTGAGCTACCTGTGTCACAGAACATCAAGAGAAATCTATCCATAGCTCTGTTCTTTATAAATTACAGACTTTGTAGAACCAAAGCAATTTACAGAAACTAACTTCATGGCACAGAAGCTTTCTTGTTAACTCAGCTGGCCAAAAAATCCCATGCTATTAAGGGGACAGAAGGTTCATAACTATCTTCACAAAAACCAACAAATCCCATCTATGCTATGTCTTTGAAATGACCTCTCACCTGGAGGTTTTCTAACCAAAATTATTTAAGCATTTCTTGCCTCCACTATGCATGCTACGAGGTCTGACATAAAAATAAGAAGACTGATGCTGTAACTCTTTTTATTTACATAATTACAAAAATCAACTGTGATCACCCTCGAAATAGTTCCCTTCGGAGTTGACACACAGCCGCATATGATGCTGCCACTGTTGAAAGCAGGGCTGTAGATCATTTTCTGTAAAGCTGTTCAGCAGCTCAGTCATTTTTGCCTTCACTGCTTCTACTGTCTCAAAATGGGTCCCTTTGAGCACAGATTTGATCTTGGGAAAGAGAAAGTAGTTGTAGGAAGCCAGGTCTGGTAAACAGGAGGGGTGGTCAAGCAGAGAATGTTCTTATTGGTTAAGAACCAGTTCACAGAAAAGCCCTGTCTGGGCTGGCATGTTATCCTGGTGCAAAATCCACCTGTTTTTCCACAACTTAGGCTATTTTCTTCTTACTCATTTGAGCAATTTTGTAAAGATTTTGATGTAATATTGCTGATTTACCATCTGGCTGCAGCTAACAAAAATGTAAGAAACATTTTTGTGCAAACCTTTTTCATCTTCAATTCCTCGATTAAAATGTGTCAAACAATTTCTCTGTCTAAATTAACTCTCTCAGATACTGCTCAAAGACCTAACCTATGGTCTTTTCAAATCACATCTCGCACTTTTCAATGCGGTTATCAGTAATTGATGTGCGAAGACGTCCTGGGCACCCATCATCTTCCACACCTTCCCTGCCTCACAAAAATTGTTTGTGGCATTCAAACACACGTGCAAGAGACATTTTCGAAGAAATGGCGGTGGATGGGGCGCCCTTCAAGCCCCTCTGTTGGTTCTGTTACGTGGACGACACGTTTGTTATCTGGCCCCACGGCCCTGGCAAACTCGTGGAGTTCCTCAACCACCTAAACAGTATTCACGAGAGCATCCAGTTCATCATGGAGACTGAAAAGGACGGCCATCTCCCATTCCTGGACATAGACATCTACCGGAAACCTGATGGCTCATTAGGCCACAAGGTTTACCGAAAACCAACCCATACTGACCTTTATCTCAATTCCAATTCCCATCACCACCCGTCCAACAAACAGGCCGCGCTCTCGACCCTGATACACAGGGCTAAAGCCCCTTGTGACCACGAGAGCCTACAGGGTGAACTGGAGACACTCACCACCACCTTCAAGAAAAACGGATACAGCAACTGACAGATCCAGAGAGCTCTCAATCCGCCTGCGAGGCTGTCACCGCCTCCTGAAAAACCAGCCTCGGTTGAATTCCTGCCCTGTTGGCACGACCTTCAACCGCATAAGCAGGCTGCTGGCCAGGCACAACATCAAGTCTGTTGGTCTTCCGCCAAAGAAAATTCCCAGTTTTCTCCGGCCGGTAAAGGATGACCTAGGACTGAAGACACCTGGCGTATACAGTGTTCCCTGTGAGTGCAGTAAAGTCTACATAGGCCAGGATCAAGGAGCACGAGCGCCACATCCGGCTCGGGCAGCCCGAGAAATCTGCGGTTGCTGAACACCGCTTCAACATGGAACACCGCATACGGCTCGAGGACACCTCTATCCTCTCCTCAAAAACCGGCTACGTGGATCGGATAATCAGGGAAGCCATCGAGATCGAATTACATCCTGATAACTTCAACAAGGAAGATGGACTTCACCTGAGCCGGTCCTGGAAGCCTCTTATTCACACCCTTCGAAGACTCCGAGAGCGAGCAAGAGTGCACCGCCAGAACCAAACAGACCACTAACATGGCCCTTTTCAGGATCCAGATCCATCCAACCAAACTCACCCTTTCTCTCTTTACTTTCTCTCCCTCTCCCACACTCGCCCACGCGCTCCCATTGGTCCACTCCCACGCCTGCTCCCATTGGCTCGGGGCAGGCTACACCTTTCACTTTCTGGCCCTATAAACCTAGCTCCACACACCCTATTGGCATATTCATCGCCCTGATGACGGAGGCAGTATGACCTCTGAAACGTTGGTTAACATCGACCAGACTACACAGCGCAACAACCCAGAAGACAGAAATCTTCATACTCACCGTTGTGAAAACCTCAAATCTTACAAGAGACATACAATCTTCAATGTAAGCCTCATTCAATAACTGAAAAGTCTCTGTTACAGATTTCTTAAGATTAACAAGAAACTTAACATTAGAGCATTGTTCCAATTTACAATCTGACATTTTCCAACTGAGCATAAAAACATGTCTATACAGAAACACTCATCCACTGCTGCTGAGTAAAGCAATCAAGATGAAACTTGCATCACTGGTAGAGGATAGATCAAGGTCAAATATAGTATGCTTATTTTGCGCTCTCAATTATTGATTGCCTAGTTACAGCATCAGTCTCGTTATTTTTGTGTCAGACATCGTATATGCACCATCCATCTTACACACTTTAATGATAAAGAGTATGACTTATGAGGCTCTTCATGATACCAATTATATTATTCATAAACCATTTAATAATATTATAGTTTTAGATTCTTTAATCTGTAGATTTATAGACAGGACATAAAAGACACAAAAATTCTAAAATTCATGGTAACATTCATTTTTTAAATTCAATCTTCTTTTAACTTCAGGATGAAGACAACAGTTTATAAAGAGAATCTTTAACTAACTAACTAACTAAGTAACTAACAAACCCAACTCCATGGAACAGGATATTTTTGAGAAGCTACTAGTTACCTTCCATGGAACAGAGTTTCATTACTATGGTCATAAGTGCCAGCAACTGGTCCCCATCATAAGCCAAACAAATCAACACTCTCAAATTCTAGTTTCCTAAAATCCATTTTAATATCAGCCTCTCATCTTCTGACAGGTCTCTGCCTTCCAGGCTCAAAAAATAAAAACTCCAGAAGCTAATAAATCACAAAATAACAAGTGAAGTTATAAACACCTGAGTTCGAGAAAGTATGTTAAAAAGCTACATACAACAAGACCTCTGTACAGCAAAGTTAAGAATCAATCAGTGAATGCAATTGTTATTTCATTAGATGAAGTATGAGTAACAAACATGTTAACCTTGGCCTTCGGGTTGTAAAACCATATGGTTTGTATGTGGTTACAAACATTTTTGTGGAATGAATCAACCACACCCTAGTCTTGTTTACAGACCTACCAATCTCTCTTCCTCTAAGTCCAGCCGGCCTTCCTCTTCCCTTCCCATGTCCCACTCTCCTGTCATAACTGTTTGCAGCTGTACCACCAACAGAGTCTCTGTCTGTAAGATAATTCATAAATGGTTTAATGAGAAACAGGAGTATAGTACCTGAAACAGCAGCAGCTGGATATAGTCTGACCAAACAAAGCACATTTATACAATACAATTTAAAGAAAGAACTTTAAATTAGGATAGTAACCCAAAAGATAGCTTCAGCTGATGGAAAAATCAAGAGCGCCTCTGTTCAAATAATTTAATCAAACATCAGACAAGTAAAATATGTTATAACTGGCATAAACAACAATTTTAAATTAACTAGAGCAGGGCGCTCCTTTCGGAGCTCCTGGGGGGGACAAGTTTGTAAAACGCAACCAACCTTGTATAAGAAACTAAACTAACTGCCCCGAATTGAGGGTTAAAACAATTTACCAACCCCCCCTTCTGGGGGGTTGGTTGCATATTGAAATCTTAAGTAACATGTTAAACTAACTCCCCTCCGTGGGGTTAGTTTAGTGTCTCATTCAAGTGTTTTAACCATTGAGTAAGAAACTAACCAACCCCCCCCCCCCAAGGGGGTGGTTAGTTTTGTGTCTTATCCAAGTGTTTTAACCCTTGAATGCGCAGTATGACTTGAATGAGTATTCTTATCAGTATCAGATTACCTTTTCTTTCACTTTTCTTCATTTCTTAAATAGTCTAATGTCGCTGTTCGGAGACGATGTGCTGCTAGTAGAGCAGTGATAATGCGACTGGCTTGGTACTAAGTGTTATTTGTTTACTCGTCATTGTTGTGTACACGGCATTGTTCTACCACAACAATGCCGTGTTCTTGTTGAATAAGTTTTTCTGCGTTTATCAATGTAAGTCTCTTTTCGCTTTTCTTTATTTGTTAAATAGATCTGATGTTTTAGTTCTTTACGTCGCTATTCAGAGGCCAGTTGTTCTTGGTCAGTCAACTATCTACGTCCATCTCCACCCTTGCAAATCTTCGTCTGTTTTCTTTCTGTTCTTGTTGAATATGTTTTTCTACGTTTATCAATGTAAGTCTCCTTTCACTTTTTTCTTTGTTAAATAGGTCTGATGTAGAAGTTCTTTACGTCGCTGTTCAGAGGCCAACTGTTCTTGGTCAGTAAACTTTCTACGTCCAGCCCCACCATTGCATAGTATCTTCGTCTTAAAATCGATCATAATAGTTTTCGTAATCGTAATATATCGAGTATATATGAATAGTATTATTAGTATCACTTTACCTTGTTGCAGTTGTTGGATTTGGTACTTCAAATAGTTGATAACTTCTTTTTTCACTTTTCTGATGTTTTAGGCTAGATGTCAGTCAATTTTTAATAATGCAACGTGCTGCTTCTGGAGCAGTGATAATGCGACTGGCTTGGTAGTAAAGCGTTATTTATTTCCTTGGCATTGTTGTGTTGTACTGAGCATAGTTGAGTTCCACAACAAAGCCGTGTAAAAACAAATATAAAGTGACATTGTTGATGACGTAGTTTATTGACGACGACAAAATCACAAATTTTTATAGTAAGAAGATTACAACTAGTCACCATGTGTGTAAATACTTAGCTCAAAGCATATTCTCAACAATTCTTGTATATTTTTTTGAAACTTTACCAAGAAATGAAAGTCTACTAAATTTTATGATGTACTGCATTCTGATAAAAAGTATTAGCCAGAGGTAAGTGTTTAAAGATATCCTGTCTAAGGATTGCTGGTGGTGAACTCCATAAGTAATGTGATCTGTACAGTACAGTACTGCAGCCTCCCTTGCCTTTTCTGCTCCCCTCTAGAGCCTTCATAGCATAAACAATCAGCAGAAGAGTCCAATGAAACTAGTAATATGAGGTCAGCAAACTTTTGTGAAAACTATGTGTTTTGGAAAACCTCTTATGGCAAACAACATGTCTAAAAGAAGCACCTAGAAAATTTGGTGATGAAATTAAAGTTATTTCTCGGTTTACTTAACACTTTAGGACTAATGCCAGTCTAAATAATAGTTAAGAATTCAGTCTGTATCACTAAGAAAACTTAACACTTCACCATGGTAAAAATCAAATAGTTAATGCTGTTAAAGGAAATAATTGCTGTTTACACTGAAAATCAAACGAAACTCAAAAATACAAAATGAATCGTTACTTATTGTTAAGGCAGGTGGTCCATACAGTCAACCACTAGGATCTAAATGGTTAATAATGCTTTGTCACCTGCAGAGAATGATTATGAATTGGAAGGAATGATCATGACATTCTGAGTTATTTGTCTGCTGAGGTTAATGAAAAAGAGAAGAACATAAATATTCAAATCCTAAATTCTTCTTCAAAGCTTGTGCTTACCACTGCGTACGTAATCATTCGCATTTCTTCCTTCCTTCTTGTAGTTACGGTAATTGTATAATCCGCATCCGGTACGTCTCCTCATTTTCAAGAGGATCTATGATACTTACATGAAAGTTTACTTTCGCACTTCATACCAACATACATCTGAACAACTATATCATTCTAAGCGGCCATATCATTCTCAGGTGCTATTCTGACACTAACATCCAGGCACACCCAACTGCAGGAAAATATCCCTATTAACGTAAATCACCAAGCTGTAGTGGTATTCCGCAGCTCAGCTGTTCCTTATCAACGAGTAGAAGTCGAGAAGTAACTGAAGTTTGTGATCATCTTTGGAAACACGGAGTTTCCTTTTCCTGTTTAACGGTTGCGTGTTGCTGAAGAAGGAAAATGGTAAGTAATATTTTATGCGTTTAATCTTGGGCATCTTGTTCTCCGAACCTTTAAACACTGCATATATACATATTCAGCCACTTATCTTGATTACAGTTGCTTGTTTGTAATTTTAGTATTCGTATTTTGACATGGTTCTTCAGACTTAACCAAAGAACTGCCCCCTTTATTAGCAAAAACTGTAATTTTAGATAAATTTAGGTACTACAATTTAAGTTAATAGGATGATGTTGAATGATTACTCGCATGAGACATCATTTATAATGTGTTATGTACATTTCTATACCACTGGATATATTGCTTGTATAGGAGTCATTAACGTAACATTTTTTACAGGCGAAGAGAACCAAGAAGGTTGGAATCACCGGTAAATACGGTACACGTTATGGCGCCTCTTTGAGGAAGATGGTTAAGAAGATGGAAATAACCCAGCATTCCAAATACACATGCACATTTTGTGGAAAGGTATATTCGAAAGGAAAGAAGTGTGTGTGTGTGTGAGAGAGTGGATTGAAGGCAGAGGACCAAATTTTACTTTGATTTAAAAGTAGTTTGAATATTTTCAGAAATGTTAATTAAATAACAAGTTCAACCATTTTCATAGGTCTTTGCATGTTTCATGATAGTTTTACATGATGACTAGTGAAAGAATATTCCATTTCAGTTGAAGTGGTATTGCTAAAAATTCATATCCTGTTTATGAAGTGTGTCCCCAGCTGTTGTAGCAAATTACAATTTTGAACCTTTTATAGGATGCCATGAAGCGTACCTGTGTAGGCATCTGGGCATGCAAGAGGTGTAAACGTACAGTGGCTGGTGGAGCATGGGTATACAGTACAACTGCAGCAGCATCAGTTAGATCTGCTGTACGCCGTCTTCGTGAAGTCAAGGAACAATAAACTTTTCTTATTGTAAAATACAAAATAAAAAAATTAAGTATTTATTGTGCCCTTTAATTTATATACTTTCCACATTTTAATCGAGTTGCCAATGTGTTTGGAAGTCTGTGAAGACATTCCTGTGTAATGAATTTTATTAACAAACCCAACAAGATGCATAATTGCTTGGAACATGGAGTAAATTGGGGGAAAATATTATGTAATGGATGATTAGATTTTTCTTACATGCATCTAAGGTAGAGTTGGGGGGGGGGCACAAATATCTGCCTCACATTTCATGAAACTCAAGTGTGAATATTTTCACTGAAGGCTGCCCTCAATCTCATAATTTTCAATTTCCTATAGTGTCTAATAAGAACATGGATGCATAAACTTGTGAGGTGGAAGCAACCTGATCATTATTTAATTTAGGATTCCAGAATGATATACTGCAATAGATCTTCAAAAAACTGCACTACAGAAGCAGATTGGAACCATTTAGATCATGCACAGAATAAAAGAAACATGAAGTTATTGACATGCAGTTTTCTAATTTTCTCAAATTTCAGCATTCTTATTAAATAGCTTATTTCACCTTCAGTAACTGACTACAGACCAGATGACTGGGGTTCAATCCCCAATGGGGGCAGAGGGTTTTTCCTCTAGCCAATGCGTGCAGATGGTTTCTGGGGCCTAACCAGCCTCCTATCCAATGGGTACTGTGGTCTTTTCCTGGTGGAAAGTGCAGCCAGGGCATGATGTTGACCACTCACCCCCATCTAGTGTTAAGGTCAAGAATGAGTAGGAGCTATACCACCTCTCCCCCCAAGCACTTACATAGCATATAGTGGCTTTACATTTACTTTTTTACAAATGTGTATGGCAGCTAAGACTGGCATATACAGCAGATTATTCACTGGGCTTATCTCTGGCACAAAGAAAACTAATCTTGAGACCTACTAACAGGACACTGCTGATCCTTTGTAAGTTACAATTATGACAGATACAGTGTAATGTTTACAAGTTAGAGAAGAAAGATTTCATTCTTTCAGGGATGACATAAGTATGAAATTGATTTTGTGTATGAGTGCACGTAAAATGGCAATATTACATCAGTGACAATTTTAATTCCACACTGAAACAAAGATTCAGTGAATTTTCATTCCAAGCTGTTCAGATATTTAGAAATGTACAGACTGCAAGCTTAATCTAGGTACACTATCACAAAACTGCTGTACCTGATACGAGAATTCAGATCTCTAAATCAGCAAACATGAGAGAGAAAAAAATCTCAATACACTACAGAAAGCCATTCTTATTAATTTTTCATCCTGTTCAGTCTTGAATGAGACTTCAGAACTGCATTTTTGTGAGGAATTTCATGTGCAATTTTCAAAAACAAAAATCATGTGAAAAAAGTCCAAGACGCATGAAGACAGTACTCGAGTCTTAATGAACATAAGGCAGGAGTGTCAAAACTCAGAAGGAACCTAGGGTAATGTTGCTATGAGTGGATTTTAAATGAAGCCTTTTCATACTGTGCTCATAATTAATGTGAGCATCATGTGACTCATAATTTGCAGATGATACACTTGGAGCAATTAAAATTCTGGTCATGGCCATTGTATTGTAGTCAAATGTAACAATATTTCTGTGTATATTTTGTTAAATTTTTCATAAGCAAAAAACATCAATAACATGTTATGCAACAAAGTGTGGAATGTACAGTAAACAAAACACATTATATACACACACACACACACACACATGCTCTGTCATAAAAAAAGCTGGAATTAGGCCCTAACACGTCAGTCAAAACATATTAAAACACTGACTGGAATGTGAAAGCTGTGGTCTGTACAGAAACAGGTTCAGTCCAAAATGCACATTCATTTAATTTAACTGAATGTTGAATTAAACTATTCTTATAAAAAAAACAAATACAATAATACTGCCATATAGTTTTTGCAAATACACAGGGTTTAAGCTGCTTTAAAAAATAAAATGCACAAAAATTTTAAAATAATATAAAAATGCACTTTGAGATTATAAAAAGTATTGCCAAGAAATGTATGTAGTAACTGTTTTGTGTATACTGTACCTCACACCATATTTGAAGCAATGTAAATGCTTAAACCCTGGGCATATCAGCATAACAAAACAAAAATACTGAGAAATCATATGGAACAGACAGCACTGCTAATGCACCCATTATCTATACTTCAATCCACCCTACTGTTACATATTGCATAATTTTTTAATATATTAACATGACTATCTTATGAAATTCAATTTCAATGAAGTTGGTTTTCTTTAAAAATAGTTATTAAATACTGCTAACCATACTACATCTGTTGATCGAGAGCATCCAACTTCCGTGGCACTGTTCAAGTGAACTTTAATGATTACAGCTGAGTTCAATTTGTACCACAAGTGACAAAGTATAAGTCTTACATAATATCACTCAGAGCTCAGGAATACTCACTTTATCCCTACACAGTCACTTGGGAGTTGATTTAACTACAAGTCTGGGTTCACTTACCTAATATGTTAATAAGTTAAAATTATTAGCTCTATTAATTTTCAGATGATTGCATACTAAAAAGCAAACGTATGTATCACCAAATAAATATTATATGGTGAATTTTGTTTTTACAAGGCACAGAAATAGTGCCTCTTTAAGTACAATTTTATTTTAAATTTATGTAGTATTTGAGGTTTTCATAGCAATGTGATTTTAGATAGCTATCTTCTGGGCTGCTGTCCTGTGTAGTCCAAAACACTGGTATAAGACCAGAAGACAACTATGAACATTTTCTTTAAAACTGTTTGTTCATAATTTCAAGCAAACAAAAAATGTATGAAATTAAGTAAGATTTACAAAGCAATGTTTCAATGATTAACAGGATAAAAAAAGTTTCCCCCCCAGTCCCCAATTTGTTAACAACTTATATATATATAACAAACCTACTCAAAAGAAGCTGAATCCTAGTAATTTCCACTGCTGCCACATAAACACGCACAATTTACCACAGCCCTAAAAAAGATCAAGACAGAAGATCCAGATCTCCCTTGAACCAAATGTGATATGCTTATGATTTGTTGTGGCGACACCTGTCTTCCACCAAAGTTCAGCCTGATGATCGATGACAATGTTAAGACAACTAACTTGCCTGCCACACAAATTTGCTCTTCATGATCCACTGCTGTCCAAGACTGTGGTCACAACTTCTAAGTAATGGCTGTGACGTGTCTCGGATATCTGGTTTCTGGAGGCACTGACCGGTATTAATATGTTTGATGGTGCGATCCTGTAAAAGTACACAAATTACACTAATGTAATACACTTTCCTCATGTAATAGTGTGGGGCAATCAATTATGATGGTTTACAAACCAAAATGCATATAATACAATGACTGCATAAATATATCTGATAGTCAACTGTAACAAAATGTAAACAAATTATACAAATTACCAGATTTCACTGCATAATTCATACTACTGTAATACATGCACCAGAATCCTGTGTTTCAAATTAAGGAGGAAACAAATGCCCATATATTTCGTATGTTCCATTCTTACACTTGAAAGACATTAGATATCACCAAAACATTTCATCTACAATGTCTGAGAGAACAGCAGCTGGACGGACTGACAAGATATTGCATTTGGCATGGTTTGGTGAGAAATGCCCTCAGTCATTTGCTATACATCCATCGCTTGATCTTGCAGCCTGGACAGTGAACAACTCCAAGCATGATGAAGATTCCGATCTGACATTAACCATTCCCAGACAAATACTTCCTTTCTGAATTGTAGTAGTTTGGTCCAGATTAATTTTTTAAAAATTCACTGTCACTAGGCAACTCAAAGAAATGTCACACATCACCCATATAATCATTGCCTCTGATCTCTTTTATTTCTCTAATCATATCCTCACCTTTCAACGTATAACAATTGCATGTGGCAGCAAAACATAGTCTTATGAAAGAAGCATCTGACTGCTAGTTGGCACACCTGTTGCTTGGATACCAATGCGTTTAGTTTCATTTGGAAGTGATTTCCATTCGGAAACTTCAATGAAGTAGGATTTGAGGTTTTCAAGGTGGCAAGTCTGAAGATGGCTCTCTTCTGGGTTGTTGTGCCATGTTGTCTGGTAGAAGTTTACCAATGGTTCAGAGGTCCTTGCTGCCTCATCATCAGGGTGATATCCCCCCCCCCATCACTCTGATGATGGAGGCAGCAAGGACCTCTGAAGTGTCTGTAAACTTCTACCAGACAACATGGCGCAACAACCCATAAGACAGCCATCTACAATGACATCCACCAACAAATCTAAGTTCAACAGCAAAATATAGGTACTGGCTGATGGTAGAAGTCACATAAGAGCAATAAATCACAGTGAATTTGTGTGTCACGTTGAACTCAACATAGGATGTAATGTGTTGCTCAGTCCACCTAGATGTATTAGAAGGGGTTAAATAACTTCTCTGATTTGGGTTTTGATATTTAACTTTGTTCAACACTTATTTCTGATGGAAATGTGTTCTGGAAAGTAATGAAATCTAAAATACACTGAGAGAGGGGGAAGTGATGTTTTGGTATAAAATAATTCTACACAGGATCCATCCTGTTTTCAAAGAAAATGTTTGACTTTCATGAACATATCAAATAGACACTGACACTTTGAATGATGGACCATTCTCATAAATCCTGGCAAAATTCACAACATTCTGGAAAAGATAAAGTAAAGTAAAATGTAAAACTGTCCCACTAAATGCCATGTAGGCACATGGGGGGAGAGTGTTTAGCATCATGCCCCAGCTGCACTTTACCCCTTAGAAAGGAACCTGGTACCCATTGGATAGGAGGCTGGGGGGGCCCAAGAGCCACTCTGGATGGTAAGGATAGAGATAAAATCCTCTGCCCTCATCGGGAATCAAACCCTGGTAGTCCAGTTACTACACTGACTGAGCTACCCCAAAAGATATCTGTTAATAATGGAACATACAATAACAGCTTAAATGACTGTAAGAAGCAAGTTCAAAAACTAAAATCTTCATGCTGCCTTTGCCAAGACATAACTTGAATTCTGTTCATCCAGAGTTTTATTCCTCATTCAGATTCTTTATGAAGTCAAGTATAAAACCTACACATCCAAATGTTTGGACTTACATAACCATCATTACCTTTAGCAAACCAGCATCTCTCAGTTCAATCAAATATAGACATGGTACAGTGGTAAGATGAATACCTGTGTATTGTAAGTCCATGCCTGATTTCCACCCATACCATGACATCTCACAAGTTTCACTGGTCCCTCTGGACTTGATGCATCAAGGCAATTATCATCAGACATTATTTGCTGACGTTTTGTATATGCAAACACCTGCAAAATAACATATAAGGGAAAATGATCTTTCTGGATTGCTGTTCACAATCTGCCTCTGAGGAAGATGGTTACAAGATACAGACCTGATTCCCTCCAAGTCCGTGGCAGTAGCTCATACCAAGATTCTCTCCCCCTTTCCTTCCCAGTGTATCCAGACAGTTTTGTGTCTCTGCATTCCTTACCTGAAACATTTAAAGATGAATTACAACAGATTAGAAAGTCCTGTTTGCCACATAATTTCAAACACATAACAAGTTTTATACAAAATATGAAAATTCAAAGGCATACAAGCAGTCCTTGGACTGATAACAGGTTATGCCCCTGAAAACGGTGCCATCCAAAAAGACTGATTTTCCCAGAGAAACACAGAATATGTTAGCCTCCAGTATGCAGAACCATGTAGAAACAGTTTACCAGTAATATGACAATGTTTTATTATGTATATGATACAATGAGTGCATGACCTCAAAATATGCAAACTGTAAACTTACTTCCTGACTGCCTCTCATAATAACATGGTTGGCAAGTGGCAGCCTGCCAGTAAGGATGGATCAGCACCAAGTGGTTTAAAATACTTTAATACAGAAAGTGGCCGGGGTTCATCTACACATACCTCACCGAGATAATAATAATCCAAAGGCATTTGTGACTCAGGATATACATTTTCCAGGTACCATCTGAAGCTTTTGCACTTTAATCTCTTCCTCAGCTCCCTTCTCTCAGATACATCTCCAACATCAACACTCTTTGCACCTGCAAAAACAAGAAACCATTCAGTACTTCAAATGCAGCTGAATAAATATCACCTTACTATATACATATCTACACTAACAATTCACTACATACTCTACCAGGACACAGTAAACAATTGCAAGCTCTTATGTACTGTAATACACTAGTAATACATTCCTAATTACATAACATGCAAAACAAGCTGATGGCTTCTTAGATCTAGCACATCATATTTGCCTCTGAAAGAATGCACACGCAAAAGCATTCTGTTTAACAATTAAGACAAGAGGCTGTTTTACATTTTCTGTACATGAACTGCAAAAATTAAGAAAGATGATGGAGGCAACTAGGACATCTGAAAAGTCAGTAAACTTCCCTCAGACTGCATGCTGTTACAACCCAGAAGACAGCCATCTTTGGACTCACTGCTGTGAAAACCTCAAATCCCACTTTGCAAAAATTAATGTGTGACTGGGTGGTCAAGTGAGTTCATCCACACACTTCAACTCATATTCCTCATATTGCATGTTGCACCACACATTATGGCTCATGTCAGTTCAGTATAACTACTACTTTACATAGAGTTCAATCTGAACTTATTCAGTTGTCTCAGAAATAGCTTGTTCAAAGAGAAGAGGATCTGCTATATCATACAGACTTCAGATAGCAATGATCTTCAAGGCTGTTGTGCCATACAGAATTCTGGTTGAGTACCAAAGTTCCAAAAGAAAATTCTGCCACCATCCTGAGGCTTCCAGTGAGGGGAGTAAGGAACTTGATGGGAACAAGCCAAAAAGACTGGCCAGTCAGAGCCACTGGAGGGAAGATAACACCAGGTTGGAGCCAACTGGGGCAAGAAACAGAAAAGTGTCCTTTTTAGGACCCTCGAAAAGGATGGTCAAATTGAAAGGAAGGACGTGTCTTGTTCCTAGAAAGAATCTTATTCCATTCTTTTAGGGTGAGTAAGATGCTTCCACAACCTGCTCACAGAAAACCCATCCTCTCTCTGTGTTCATGTTGTTAGGAGGCTGGGTGGGCCCCAGAGCCAGTTGGGGATTGAACCCCAATCATCCAGCTGATAGTCACTGACTCAGCTACCCGGCTAATAGTAGTACAACTTTACTTGCACAGAAGTAAAGTGATGTACACAGAATGCCACAATGGGCTGTTAATTATTTGTAACTGCAATCACATTATATAAACATTAATTTGCAACAAGAAACCAGCCATGCAAAAACCATAAAAAGATTTGGAATGAATATCTACATGCAGTTGTTTCTACAATGATTTCATCAAACTACACATTCTAGATACCACTATGTGCTAACAGAGACTTGGAATTACATGTTGAAATTGCAGCCAAAAGTGTCAGAATCTCCTTCTGTCCTACATGCCACAGAAAGTGTAGCTAATTTTCTGATTCAACCAAAAGTTAGTCATCCATAACATGGCATACACTTCACACTGATGCAAAGATGTGTCATAATCTTATAAGGGTTGAAGACCTTGTGATCTCCACCATACAGTGAAATGCCTGTAGAAACACCAAGTATAATACATCTAAAGATGAAAGTAACAAAATATGTACACCTTGTAAATTACATCCCCAAGGAAACAGATAATACCCTAATGAATATAAATTGTTATATGTACAAGAAATACTGCTAAACACATTTTACCATCACCTGTTACCAAGACAACTTTGCAATATTATTAGTATTATTACATACAAGTACATTGGTGTTAACATTTACATATCTGTGACATGCTAAACCAATAGGCAGCTACCACACCACACCACATCAGACCAGACCAGACATGCTCTGTTAGTACTCTAACCTGGGTTTATGCTGTAGTAAAATTCCTTCCACTCATCGAGCCAAACCTCTGCTAGGCGTGCGTTGTTATGGTTTACTATTTTAGAAGTGCCCCCCGGAAAGGTATAAGGGGTGGATTTGCGGAACACATGACCCACATGGGAGCAAGTGGCAATTTCTAAGTTGCCACCACACATCCAAACCTATAACAAGGAAGCCGTGCCTCACGTCAAACAGCGTGTCCCAGCCACAGTACTGTCAATACAGTATTACATAAAAGCCAACAGCACAAAACACAGAATTTCTGCTTCACTTGCATTATAATTTAACTGCCATGCTCAGAAATGTTATTATGTTAAATATAAAACCTGTAAGGAGTGTTCCACACATTTATTGGTTCTTGGTTCATTCAAAGAGACTGCAAATTGTAAAGATTATATAAAATCAATGGCTGGAATTGTTTAGAGTTCTGGAAGGAAGAGGGCATTTTCTGTAAATTTACTTGTACAACAACTTCCTTACTAGCAAATGATAAAGTTGCTGTTTTTTCCCTTTAAGTTAGCATCAACAGCACAGACCAGAAGCTGATGTATCCCATTCATTTCCCATCCTTCGTTTTCTTGGACTTTGTAATTTCATTTTTTACAACAGATAATTTTACAGTAAAAGGTTGTTAGTCCTGTGCTGAACTTCTAAATAAGGGAATGATCCAGTATCACTATTCACAACTGCATACTTAGCATATACAAAGAAAGAAAGTTTTGTCTCTTCTGCTTAGTTCTTGACAAACATCCAAATATTAATTAAACAGTACTGTATAGTGACATTGTCTACGTTCCCAATTGTAGTTAATATCATGGTAGTTGCAGTGTTTGTATTTACATGTTTTTTCAGGGGATGATAGTCAGCTGTATTTTCCTTTGGATCTTAAAGGCAGCTACAGAAAGTTGTGTGGTTTCACTTCAATACAGTGTGACATCTTAACAAGCCACAACTGACTTCAAGTTATGACTCTGTTCCCTTTAATTGCTGAGGTCAAGGGTTAGCTCTTGGCCTGGAGAAGATTAGCTATGTAGACACACGGGTTTTATGAAGTCACTACAGGCATATACCTTAAAAAGGCCATGTCTTGACAACAGACTGTAAGGCAAACCTGCTGTATGAAGTTGGCCAATAAATCTAATAATATGACAAAGGTTCAAATATCTGACAATAATGTCAACAAATCAAAATTGAATTTGAGAAAAATTTAAGAGATTACATTTGGGATTAAAATACAAAAAATTATAATTTTATTGTTTTGTATAGGTCTCAAACTCAGTTTCTCATGTTAAGGAATGCAGACTGCAGATGTTTAAAATTAAAATTACTCAGGAATAATTTTTTCTCAAAGTTTTGCATCATAAAGGAAAATGGCATGTACAATCCATTAAAATGGTTGACTATCAAAAATTTCTGCCTCCCATGGCTGAGCAGGTAACTTTATTTTTCAAGCCCCTTATTAAATATTATTTAATTGTCTTCAGTCAACAAACTGATGTGTATTGTGCCTTCATTCTGGCAAAAGCTAACATTAAGACAAGATAGTATCAACTGCAATGTCAAAGCAAAAAATATTTATAATTGACGTTATATGAAATTGTTTCACATTTTAAAAAATCAGATATATATGTAGAAGACAGCAATAACACTAGTTTTAAATTGGAAGAAAATTATGCTTTACGTTTCAATACTAAATAAGGTACTGAGCAACAACTAATTGAAAAGCCCGATTTACATCATCACAGTTTTCAATGCCAGGAATCAGATGAGCTTGATCACAGAAAATGCTACAACACTTTACTGTTTATAGTTTCATTAGTAGCTTCTAGAACAGTACAAATGAGGTGAAGGGAAATTTGGAAAGAATTCCAAAGGTCCATCCAACAGCTGCTGTAGTAACATTTTTTGGATATTTCCACTTCATGTGGGTACACAAATAACAGTATTATTTATGGTCTTGTCACAGTTCAGGCAGTCTCTTTACAAGGGACCAGAATTAATTGCAGGGAGGTCCAAAATATATTAATTAAGTTTTAGCCTTATCATACATTACTGTTTTTAGTATTAACAGAAGATTTCTCTGCCTTTTAAAATAGAATATATACATAAATCATCTTTATCCATGTGGGATCTGTAATGGACAGTCATTGTAGCAAGATTTATCTTACCAGGATACTGCCAGTAAACATCATACTGATGCTTCAAACACTGACCTACCACTTCCCCAGAGTATGTGTATAATAATTTTGCTCTTCACTGCTGACCCAACACTTCAGCAGGTTCAAAGTTTAATCACAGTTTAAACTCTTAAATGTGTTAATCAGCAGTAACCAATAATTCAAGCCTCCCATTTTTAGTTATGATGACTTCCGATCTTTTCTTTTTTTTACTTGTTTCTTCTTGCCAGAAAATGTCTTTTATTTACGATTTTCCACAAGAAATTTTATTTTGCCCTCACCAATTTTTAGTTTCAAATGGTTTCACACTAACTGTTACAATGTTCATAAAAAATGTGTGCCAACAGAAAGGCTTTTTCACTTTTTCTCTTTTGTTTTTGTTACATAAATATATAATATAAAATGCTTACTAGATGAGGAATGTTTATATTAAAAGCCTGAGTAGTCGTAGACAGGGATCATAACATGTGAATGCTTTCTGGAATTATAAACTTCTAATGCTACATGTTAGTAAACCATCCACATTACTTTAGAATAACAAACACGAGCAATCTGCTGTTAGTCGATATTAGTAAACATACAAACAGAAGCAAATGTGTTAGTTATCAATGGCAGGACACAAAGCCATACAATATTAGTGTTTGTTCCCAATATATTTCTTCCATCTACCTGGATTCATTAAATAATAGAACTCTCGCCATTCGTCCATCCAAACTTCTGCCACACGTGCGGCATTTTGCAACACTATTTTGGAAACACCTCCTGGGAAGGTGTAAGGGGACTTGTCACGAAATACATGACCAACATGTGAACACGGAATTATTTCCAAAATGCCTCCACACTGCCACACCTGGAAATAACTTGTACTTAAAACACACAAATGCCTACGCTACCCAGTACATCTACGAAACCAATCACTTTATTACGGAAAACTGCACAATTTCCCTTCAGACTCTCACATTTAACATACCATATCTACACATTAAAAGGGACTTATAATATGGGTCAGACTCAATAGGAACATTTCAGTTCTAAACTTTAAACAGCATGACAGAAGTACATAATACACATAAAAATCATGAATTATAACATTAATTAAAAATTCCTGATATGGAGGTTCATAAAACAAAAACAAGAATCTCTTTAATTTCTACTACTTTGATACAAAACAGAAGCAAGGAACTCTCAACATAGATATCATAGAGTGGTTAGGATTTCACAGGTCTCAAATACAGTTTTATATATCATTCACATTCCCTCAATGTGTTTATGTTCTGGTTTTATTGTAAATTGGTGAATTACTTATCATATAGTTGATATGTCAGAAAATAAACAAATGACATCAAATGAGCAATAATGTCAACAACAAAACTCACCACTCTGGTTAAAAGCAACTTACCCTGAATGACATTTCTAGATTTTCCCCTCCCCATATATCCATTCCCTCGTCATATGCTCCAAGTTCGTAGAAATAATCCCTGTCTATTGAGAACAACCCACCAGCCATGGTAGGAGTACGGAGCGGTGCAGTTCGGTCACCACCTCTTCTATCCATTTCTCTCTGAGGCACTCGGTACCTGAAACAGCAATGCACTGGTAACTCCCTCAGCTGCTCAGCTTTATGGAACTATTATTCTTGTTGACTGGGCAATGGTTACATGTAGAGATCCACTGTGTGTCTGAAATTCACACTGCTCTTGTGAATGTAGTTCTGAGATTTCCTTGACAATGGCACTTATCACAAATTACACTTTTACAAAACACAATTATTTTATATTACAATAAAATGACAGAAAAGAAATAGCACAGGGCTGTAACAATGGTTCAAAACTAACAGTATCTACACCAAGAAAGCGTAACATAAGAAGTAAAACAAAACAGTGCTGGATATTCAATGTCAGACATCGATAAACTGTACAGAGTTTAACCTTCAGCTTCAAATAATGTGATACAGCCCTCATGCACAACAGCAGACACAGCAAAAGTAAAGTAAAGTAAAGCTGTCCCACTATATGCCATGTAGGCGCTTGGGGGGAGTTGAGGTATAGCTCCTACTCATTCTTGACCTTGGCACTAGATGGGGGTGAGTGGTCAGCATCACGCCCCGGCCGGCTTTACCCCCGGGAAAAGACCCCCGGTACCCATTGTAGAGGAGGCTGGGTGGGCCCCAGAGCCGGTCTGGACGCAGAGGCTAGAGGAAAAATCCTCTGCCCCCGTTGGGGATCGAACCCCGATCGCCCAGCCCGTAGCTAGTCACTATACTGACTGAGCTATCCCAGCTCAACAGAAACAGCAAGGAAAGCAAAAATAAAGCTAATTCAACATAAACCAGCAAATATAACTAAACAAGTTTCAAAAACTAATGTTTGTCATTGCTTCTTCCAACTGTTAAAACTATTTACTGGTAACTATGACTGGTTCCCAAGTGTAATTTTCTAACTACTTATATCTGCAATAACACTTTCTTTTCTCCGTCATCTCAAAATAAGACAGTAAGTCTGCAAGGCACATGAATGAGTAACAACATTGCAGTACCAGCACTGAAGAATACATCATAGTCCCTTTGATAATTATCAGAGCTTGTCAATGTAATGCGGTCATTAAAATGTTCACATTACACTCCTGTTGTTAGATTCTGGAAACATTTTTATTTGTTTCACTTTCCATGGAATCAGAAGAAAAGGCAAATTGAACTTACCACCTGAAATTCAGTTTCCAGTTGAAACCACCCCATGTCATGTCTGAGGCTGTGATGTACTCAAACGTTTCATCCGATATTACATCAATAATAGGGCACACCACAGTCTTCCTGTAAATATGGAAGGCGGTATGAACCAATAAGATCTCAGGTAACAGAACCTGAAGGCTCAGCACTGAAAATACCAGAGCCCTCCAACAGACTCAGCTCAATCCAATTTGCATCCTCAGACCCTACCTCCTGAAGACCCAATTAACATTTTTTTGCATTTATTACTGCCCAATTAACCTTTATCAATCATGCAATGCAGTCCAGCTGGTAGTGCACTGCACTAGCATACTAACCCCAGAGAAAAGGAGCAGCTACATATTATGGGGGTTTATATTCCCATATGATAAAGGCTGAGGAATCTTGAAGTACTAGCAGATAAAACAGGCAGTGCCTATCTTGAGAATGGGACACATCAACGTTTGGCTTGTGCTGACAATGATTTATTGGGCAAAATCAATTTATATCATAAAGAAAAAACACGGAACCTCTATTATATGCTAGCACGAAAATAGGTGTCAATGTAGACACAGAGAAAACTATGTATATGTTAATTTTCTCATAATTAAAATGGTTTTAGTTCCTGCAATAAGTGTCATTTAGATCTTCTGGATTTTTGACAGTTTTTCTTATGGCTGCTCAACTCTGAGAGATGAAATCAAAGAACAGAGAAAACTGCATAATGAGGAGTTTCATATCCTTCAGGCATTACTACTAAAATGTTATATAATTTTTCATCTGCCCTGGTGCTGTGTTTCTCACCAATCTCCTCCCCCTTGATTTTGGCTCTATCCTGAACCAGTTCAAACCAATACTCACCTTCACAAAATATTTTTCTAAAACTAATTTTAATACCATCCTCCCATCTGGGCATAGAATTCCCAAGTAAGAACATCTCTTGCATTTTATTCCCAAATGCTTGCTGCATGTCCTGCCCATCTCATCCTCCATCAATACTTAAAGTTCAATGTCATATGCACACTCACCTATCTTCCACTATCCTGGCAAGCAAAGGTTCCAGCCAGCCCTCTGTACACTCACAGTGAGCATCCAGAAATGTGATAACCTGCCCCTTTACATGCTTTGCTCCAAGCAGTCTTGCTCGGATCAAGCCAGATCGTTTCTCTGTTCTCAGTACATAAACTGGAACTGGCAGAGTGGACACATAATCTTCAAGCTGCTTTCCTAAGTGTTCTGAAAACAGGAAGAAAATTGAAAGATATCATCAGCCATTCACAACTGTGACCACTAGTACATCTCACAAATAACAAAGTGTTCTCATTGCAAGCACAGTAATGGTGACATCTGATATATGCAGTACTTAATTTGCCTTACCCTGTAATTTCTTACTTTTAATTACAAGTTCTTTGACCTAAGACATATACATGCATAATTGGAAGGTCTAAAAATACAGTGTAACCTCAATATACCGCAGACTCAAAATATACCGTGCCTGTGATCATGTCCCCAATATGATTACATATGCTTTACATTGTACAAATTTATATGAAATGTTTTGGTTACAATATAAGACTGTATTGTAACATTCCTTGCTGTAGTGTGCGGGTACAGACAGTAAAGTCCATAGTCTGCCACGAATAGGTATGTTTCTGGTTTCTCTAACCTTGGGGTTATTTTGTTCAAACAGCATAACTTAGTGAGCACCACTTTTGGTTGAGACAGGAAGAGTTGCATTGTTCTGATACTAATTCCTTTACCTGCTCGAATACTGATGGATGGAAATCCCGCAGAGCTGTTAGAGAGGGAAGTTCAAAAAACTACCTGTACCAGATTGTAGGTGTACAAACTATTTATTAAGAAGTGAGAAGTGCTACAATGAAAACTGTCATTGAATAAACCAAGAAATAAAACAAAATATGGTGATGACAACCAAAAGAACAAATGATACAATCGTAGAAAAATTAAAATTATC